TAATCCGAAACTTGAATAGGTGAAGATTGTAGTAATCAGGGAGGCAATCTCTTGGGAGTCGGTTTCTTGGAAGTGGTTCGTGGGAAGAAACTGCCTCATTCACCAAAGGAATACGAAGGTGGTTCTCTACAATGTGCTTGGCATGAGGGGTCTCAGACTCAAGGGTTAGAACTGGTGGAGATAAGGACTCTATTTCGTTTGAACACTTTCCATGGAAATAGCGATGGAGCAGCGAGAGGCTTGTGACGTCTCGTCTATGTCAAAGGGTTGTGGGGTAGAAAATAATTCGTCACCTACAAGGACGCGGAGACGCTTTTGGACTCTATCGAGAGTGGAAAGACTGGGCAGATATGGCACATATATGGCAGTAGCACTCCATTTTCTACCTGATCTAGTACTGTAAAAGTAGAGGATAGCATAGGTATCAGGTACTTGCTGGAGCTGTACAAGGAACCGACTATTTCTCCAGGATCATTCGCGATGGATCTTATGCACGAGTTCCACGCGCTCTTGTCCGAATTTAATTCCCAGTAGGCACTCAAGGTACGAAGCCTCCTTGGAGGAACATCTGTTCATCACGATTGGTGAAAGCTCTGGTTCCTATCAGCGATAGTGGAAGGTTACTAGTTTTGTTTTTAAGGCATTGAATGTGAACATCCAGTTTTTATCTCCGCTAAGCTGTTAGAGCTATATTAGATGAGATATCAACCGTGGTTATCGAGGGTTTTGGAGGTGCAGCCATATATCATTGTATGATCACCATAGATTAGCACAAATGATCTGTGTATACTCTTAAGCAGATTATGTAGAGTAGGAAAACGGTTGGACTTAGAAGTGAACTTTGTTTGATACCGTTGATCCCTTGGGACTCTTAGGACTGGCTGTTAACAACTACCTTCAGGGACCTACCCATTTCGAAGGACTTTATAGATGAGAAGACTTTTCCGGTGATTCCGTAGCTAGAGAGCTTGAGCAGTAAGCCTTTATGACACACCATGTCAAAGGCATTTACCTAATGAGATGTATTTGTTGTAAAGTACTTCACTAATTCTGTGAGTAGTCACAGTTAGGATATCAGCAGTGAACCAAGCAGATGTAAAACGATACTGTTTGTCGCGCAAGAGGTTCTTCCTATTGAGGTGATCAACAAACTTCTTATAGATTATAGCTTCAAAAGATAAGTGAACGAGGGACTACGTGTTCCGGCAACAGATGGCCATTCCAGACACTTTCGAAAAGTAGAAATGTCAGTGAATGTGACGTCACGAGGAGAGTATTTTGCAGTGAAACTAACGGGTATCATTGCCCTAAATCGAATACTTTTCTGCTGATGAAAAATGGTCGTATAATTTCAGTACAAGTTTCGTATATAATGAAGGAAGCTTGGGGAAGGAAACAAATGATTCGAAAAAGAAGTGACACTCTAAATTGGTCAAATGAAGAAAACAATTTCTGAAAAGCGCTTGGAATTAGTAAAGACTAACGGTAGAATATTCCATTAGATTTAATAAAATCCTTCGCTGATCAGTTAAAAATGGTTGGAAGTTGATCCCAATAAATTCTTGGAAAGCATAGAATCGCTCATCATTACACATCGCCCGTGTCAAGGTTCCCACGTTAAGTCTTATTCAGTAAACTCACTTGAGAGAAAAGAATCCCCCGCGTTCTCCACCAACATTACTATGCAAGTCAATACCATCGGCTCTTCCATCCAAGAAATGGTCTACTAAGTCATCAAAGCACTCACCATAAAGGAAGCGATCAGAAAAGCAGAATTTAAATTCTTGGATACGAAATAAAGTCGACGAAGATATATATATATATATATATATATATATATATATATATATATATATATATATAGATCAGTCATTTTAAGGGAACTTCAATAAAAGAGGGATTTCGCCCCAAATACACAATTATATATATATATAGATAGATAGATAGATAGATAGATAGATAGATAGATAGATCAGTCATTTTAAGGGAACTTCAATAAAAGAGGGATTTCGGCCCAAATACACAATTATATATATATATATATATATATATATATATATATATATAATGGCTATTTAGGCTGTTTGCCAAAAAACATCACGCTAGACCATTCCAAACGTCCAGCTTCCCAAAGAATACCAGTATGTCGACAAAAGAATTCTAACTGCCACATAGAAAGCACACTGGTTCTTGAAAATGACTGCGATAGTCGAAAATCCTTGAACAAAATAACAAAATATGAATATCGGTCATTTTGTCCTCAATTTCCTGCATAATACTCAAGACCAGATGTGTTAAACTGACTGCTCGCAGGCCGCATGGAGCCCATTTATATGCCTCTTGGTGGCCCTCACAAAGGTTTCTATAGCCGTGGTATATCGTGAATTTTCTCTATGTCGGTAATACAAATTATTAAAAACAGTGACATTTTTTTTCAATTGGTATCTCAATGTTTTTTGTTTAGTTTTTTGTTTTTGTTTTCCAATGCCAGCGACTATTTTTAATTTCCGATTAATCCTGTGATCATTCTTGACAACTAAATAAGAAGAAATGTAAAGTATTACAAAATTACGAACATTTTGTTCGTAATTTTGTAATACTTTGCCTTAAAAATGTCGAATTCTACTCCATCTCATAAAAAGAAAAAATAATCTGAAGAAGGAAATGTGTTTCAAGAAAAGTAGGAATTACTGAACTTTTGTACCACTGTTAAAGATAAACTGTTTGATTTGCAACCACGCCATTGTGATTTCAAAAGAATATAATGTGAAAAGACATTATGAAGCAAACCATCGATCTTATAATAAATATGAAGGAGATATACGTGTTTCAAAAGTGAAGAAATTCAAGGTTAAGTTAACACAGCAAGAGTTGCTTTACAAAAATTAATAAAGGCAACATTAGTTCTGTGACTGCAAGCTTTGAACTCTGCATCAGTAGAAAATCTTACAGTGAAGGAGAATTTAAAAAAGCAATGTCTTGTAAAAACAGCTGAAATTGTATGTCCTGAGAAGTTATACTTATTTCAAGACATTTCATTAAGCATCACTGTTGCTGAACAGATTGATGAAATGGCAGGTGATTTGAGTCAACAGTTGAAAACTTTATAATCAAGTTTTGAACATTTTTCTATTGCTCTGGGTGAGACTCTCAACATAGCTGGAATAGCACAGCTCGCCATTTTCCTCAGGGTTTGTGACAATGAATTTCAAATTTATAAAGAACTAATTGAACTGGTCCCTAATGCATGATACTACAACAAGCCAGGATATTTTTGAGAAAGTTGAACAGCTTCTCCATGAGAATGACCTTGATTTGAGTAAATTTGTGTCTTTATCTACCAAGGTGCTGCCAATATGGTTGGAGACATAATGCTGTTGCTGCCAAGTTAGGTACAAAAATAGAAAATATATATCCAGATTCAACATTCAAGTATTTTCACTGTATAATTCATCAATAGAACTTATGTTCTAAGATTTTAAAATTAGATCATGTGTTGAGTTTTGTCACAAAAAAAGTGAACTATATCAGAGATGATGCTCTGCATCACCGTCAGTTTAGCCAGTTATTGGAAGATATATATATATATATATATATATATATATATATATATATAGAGAGAGAGAGAGAGAGAGAGAGAGAGAGAGAGAGAGAGAGAATTAGGTAAATCAAATAACTAGATATTAGCAACTGCTAGCGTGCATACATTGGTAAGCAAATAATTACCAAATTTAACCATGAAGGGTAATAGTGCTCGATGTGGTAACACAGAGTTAAGAAATATATATTAACAAGTATACCTGTACTTACGTTTAGTGTGCGATTTAAGTTTCGTTGGTTGCTCAACTCGTCGGGCACAAGATATAGCCTATGTATTTTTTTTTGAAAAAAATACACACGTATACCATATAGTATTAAATTTAAACAAAATTATACAAATATTAAATGACCTTACATTATAAGTAAATTTAAATCTCCTTCAACGTTAGAAGTTGAGTTTAAAATATATTCAAAATTTCGCATCACATTTAGCCAACGAAAGATCTGACTTTGAAGTCACCTGGTCTGACGTCGCCATAATATCCGAAGTCACGTTTTAAAAGTATTTTAGTAGGGAAAGATGACACAGGTACATAAATCAGAATTCTGGATGAAATCATTTGAACACAAACATTCGGACAATATCTGTACTTCTTCAACCAAAAATATAAGCAAATATAAAACGCAAAAAGATAAAAAATGACAGAAACCTAAATGGAATATTACTTTCTAAAATTCCCATTATATATATATATATATATATATATATATATATATATATATATATATATATATATATATATGAGCCACAAAGGATCGTTCGGTTAGCAAGGTCGATTTTACTTTGTCCATTTCATAATGTGTGACGTCATTTGTTTACATTTGGATACGCATTCAGCAGTGAGAGATTCATGGAAGCCTGTAGTTTAAAAGCAGTAAAATCGATAGTAAAATATATGCTGTTTATTTGGATAAAGAGTGAGAGAGAGATTATGTTATAGGGGACTTATTGGGAGGAATGAGGAGAAGAATGCACCTTTACTGGAATCATATTATGGAGGTAGGAGTGCCTGGGTAGTGGGGAGGTAGAGACCGATGAGGTAACCTACATCCTAATATATATATATATATATATATATATATATATATATATATATATTTAAAATCAGGAGGTCAATTAAAATACGCAACTATGATTTCGACCTGACGGTCTCGTCGGGCGATGCTTATACCGTCAGATCGAATGCATAGTCATGTATTTTAATTGACTTCCTGATTTTTAAAGTTAAAAGCTTTACGCGTTATTTTTAGTTTTACTTATATTTTTTCTCACGTGTATTGAGCACTTTTTAATACTATTATTTTCTGGTCTGATTCAACTCTGACCATTTCTTCGAATGACATAATTTAGCTCTTAGGAAAATAAAAAACTTTTTTAGTTGATTCCCAAAGGGACGCACCCTTGTCGCTAAGAAAGAAGCAAGTACTAATCCTAATAAATATTCAAATATTGCATTAACTATATCTATAAAATTAGCTTTTGTAGAGTATATTCCCATTTCCCATCTAAATATTCTTTCCTTCTTCATTTTGTTTTCGGGTTCGTTTAAAATTGAATTAGTTTTGTTCGGGAAACCTTTTTAATAAAAAGGAAAGCAATTTTAAAATGGCGTTTACAGATCATTTGGATGAGGGAATTGTTTCAGGAAACAATTTTGGTCAGTGGGGATTCTTTACAATTTGAGGTGCCAAAATAATGTTGTTATAGCTACATAGCTACATCTATAATTATGGTAGGTTGAGGTAGCGTTACTCTTATTTGCAGAAAAACTCGAGTGAAACAAGTTCGAATTACAATGAAAGCTGCTTATTTTCACAAAAAAAAATCTGTTAAAATTATACCGAATATGCGAAATCTGTGATAAAATAAAAACGAATACAAATAAAAGAAACTCCGTATGAATTTTTTTTTTTTTTTTAAGTATTTCACCCTTAGCAAGGCGGGAAGCACGCAAGGGGTTACAGAGGATTTGGAGCGAGAACAGATAGGAGTGATAGAGGAAAGGATGGGGAGAAAGTTAGTGGATAGATCAAGGCAACTGGAGATGTCGATTGACATTACATTTGAATAGTTGGAGATTATAGCTATCAGGGAAACAGGAAAAGGGAAGGGAGTTCCACAGGCGAGAGGTGCGAGATATGAAGCTATTGGAGTAGAAGAGACGGCTACATTTAACAGTTTCTACAGTGAAAGGGTGAGAGCGGGATGACAGCCTCGTAGGGCGCTTGAATTCATGGAGTCTGGGAACCGGCGAAAGCAGCTCATCGGAGCAGTTACCATGAATGTATTTGTAAAAAAGACAGAGAGAGGCGACGGCGCGTCTGTGAGAGAGCGACTGCAGACGAGATGCCAGATCAGGGCCAATTATATTACATATCCGTCTCTGGATCTTATCAATAACCCCGAGGCAACCAGTAGGGGCTCCAGACCATATATGGCAGCAATACTACATGCAAGGGCGAATGGTTGATTTGTAGATTTGAAGGATCGATTCCGGGGAGAAAAATTTCCTGGCGCGGCACAAGGAGCCAACTTTCCTTAATATAGCTGTGCAGAGGACACTTGAAAAAGGAAATACGATTTTTCTTTGTTCGATTTCTCGCATCAATGAATTCATCGAGAATACAGAGGAGAATAATGGGAACTTGAGAAAATTTCCTGTTTATCGTTTCCCAACAAACGATGACTCAAGGCAACAGAAGAAGAAGAAGAAGAAGGAGGAGGAGGAGGAGAAGAAGAAGAAGGAGGAGGGAAGGAGGAGGAGAAGAAGGAGGAGGAGAGGAGGAGAAGAAGAAGAAGGAGGAGAAGAAGGAGGAGAAGAAGAAGAAGAAGAAGAAGAAGAAGAGGAGGATGAGGAGAAGAAGAAGAAGAGGAGGAGGAGAAGAAGAAGAAGAAGAAGAAGAAGAAGAAGAAGAAGAAGAAGAAGAAGAAGAATGGAAAAAAGAAGGCACAGGAGAAGAATAATGATAAAGATATGCGTTGTGATGTAATGGATATCGTAGCCGAGTTCGAATGCCAGTCGTGTTCGTTTGATTCCAATCGAGTCCGTTAAATTCACTTGCGCACAAATATCCTTGGGAAAAGTATGGCTCCATCTCTTCTCCTCTAGCTATAGGTTGAATAGCAAGATAGATTGGGTTCTTTAGCCTTGGTTGGAAACTAGTCTACCGCAGAAAGAAACGGCAACTTTCTGCCTCGTCACTCATGTATCGAAAGATATATGATCCCACAAGCGTGTATCACGTATGGCACTTAACTGACTGAATGAAAACGAGAAAAACGAGGAGGACGATAACGAAGACATCGTAATAAAAGTATAAGAAAGAAAGAAAGAAAGAAAGAAAGAAAGAAAGAAAGAAAGACAAAAAAATCAAATAGTAAAAAATAAAAAGGAAAAAAGGAAGGAAATAAGGAAGGAAAAATTGAAAGAAGACTGAATGGTCTGGAAAGTAACAGAATCATAACGAGTATAAAAAGTTAAAAGGAAGAAAGCAGAGGATAAAATAATCAAAAAAAAATCTCAAAAAGAAAGAAAAAAAAAGAGAAAATAGAAGAAAAGAGAAGTGAAGAAGATAAAATATAAATTTTCATTAACGAAAAACTAATTCATACTGAAATTTGTTTAAACGATTAGTAAAAGCAAACAACGAAAAGATAAACAAAATGAATGAATCAAACTTCGGACAGTGAAAAACATTTTCGTTAAAGCGACACAGATTTGCTTCGTGAAACACAAGTCCATCAGTCGTCAGGATTTGACCACAAATCAACATTTAGAAGATAAATGTTTTTCCCTTGCAGGGATATCGTGCAAAACTAACTCGTGCACCTACTAACACCTACCGTCCTGGATATGACGATAAACTACATCCGGCAGCAACGTCTCCGATCGGGACCACACTTTATTTCTGTTAATTCCAGGTCCACCCTGATCAGTGGTGGTAGCACTTGTTAGGGTCCTAGCTATGGGAAATTAGTGAACTCCTAAAACACTATGAAAGTATAAAAATAGATGTTTATATTAAAAATACCATCAATACATTTTTGAAAGACAAATTTATTACCAGCAATACATTTGATTCTCAGCAAAAAACCTTTTTACAAAAATACGTCAATGAAACCTGCTCTCCTACAAACTGATATCTGACAAAGAATACATATGTTATTCTTACAAAGCTATCCTTATCGGCATTAAATAACCCATTGAAGTTGATATGCCATAAAACGAAGTAAAGCAAACCAAACGAAAAAGTAATCAATGAGTTTGATGTTCATTCTTTCTTTCTTTCTTTCTTTCTTTCTTTTGTTCCATAATCGAATTTGCCACATCAATTCAATTTGCAATTTGAAGAGGGTTGTCATTCTTTCATTTGGGTTCCATTTCTATTGATTGTTTGATTCGTTTTTTTACGGTTTATCAACCCTTTGCAAGTTATTTAAAACCAGAAAATATTTTTAGATTGTAAGAATGTTTTAGAGATAATAATGTTTTTTTGTTATACAAATCTTACTAATTAACCCATAGTTGGGAGAGAAGAGGTTGATTCATACCTAATCAGAAACAAGAAATTACAATGTGGATATAAATTGAGGGTTCAATTCAACAATATAATCATTATCATAAAAGAAAAAATAAAGAATATAAAATTAAAAATAAAAAAATATTAGCAGCAATACATTTGGATCTAGACCAAAACCCTCTTTACAAAAATACGTCAATGAAACCTTCAAACTGATATCTTCCAATGAATAGATATTGTATCCATACGAATCTATCCTAAAAAATCTTGCCAGCATTAAATAATGAGATACCGTACAACAAAATAAACCAAACCAAACTAACACCTACCTCCTAACAAACGCACAAATAAACAAACAAAATCGCACAGAGACACACAAGATGCACAGTTTAAAAACGCCAAATGGTCACTATAATATTAGTCATTTTCTTCCAAGGAAACAATTTGGCATTCATTGACCGAGCAGCCAGTACTTATAAAATCTTTATCTTAAAACCATTTTTAAGTAAAATAGATTTTCCAAGTCCAGTCCCGTAGCTGTTATCGTTCTTTCCAGTACTGATGAAAGTTTCTTTCCTGACCTTTTACATCCTGGGTATGACGATAAACTAAATCTCGGAACAAGTCATCTGATCGAGAGATTGTGGGTTTTGAGTGTCGTTCTTAACTGCCGTTGTTGCCAGGTCCATATTGAACAGGGTTGTAGTACTGGTTTGGGTCTCAGTCATGGGCAAATAGTGAACTCCCAAACAAAAATTAACTTAATTTTTATTATAAAATGACCAAAAATACATTTCTTATAACAAACTGACAATCAATGCAACATTAAAAAAATATTAAGAGTTTTTAGAGTAGAATTACTATAAGGTCTCCAGACAGCAGTAGAATTGACAGTACCAAAATGAAAGAGAGATAGAGTGAGAGAGCAAGAGAGAGAGAGAGAGAGAGAGAGCAAGACAGAGAGAGAGAGCAAGACAGAGAGAGAGATAGAGTGAGAGAGCAAGACAGAGAGAGAGAGTGAGAGAGCAAGACAGAGAGAGAGAGAGAGAGATGAGAGAGAGCAAGACAGAGAGAGAGAGAGAGTGAGAGAGAGCAAGACAGAGAGAGAGAGCAAGACAGAGAGAGAGCAAGACAGAGAGAGAGAGATAGAGTGAGAGAGCAAGACAGAGAGAGTGAGAGAGCAAGACAGAGAGAGAGAGAAAGCAAGACAGAGAGAGAGAGCGCAAGACAGAGAGAGAGAGAGAGATAGAGTGAGAGAGCAAGACAGAGAGAGAGAGAGAGTGAGAGAGCAAGACAGAGAGAGAGAGAGAGATAGAGTGAGAGAGAAAGACAGAGAGAGAGAGAGATAGAGTGAGAGAGCAAGACAGAGAGAGAGAGAGTGAGAGAGCAAGACAGAGAGAGAGGGAGAGAGAGAGATAGAGTGAGAGAGCAAGACGGAGAGAGAGAGATCTCACTGGCCCGGAAAAATGAAAATAAGAGAAAACAAAAACAATATTAAAAAAAAATCTATTTTATTGTTCCATATATTTTAGACGGTTGAATGTTTCTATCATTTTGTCAAGAAGACTACAAAATCCACGGAAAGAAAATGGAAATTACTTCAAGACATGGAATTTTCCTAAGTATGTATTTCCCTACGTGCGTATTCTTCTTGGAACCAGCCTTTTTCTGCTAGTTAAAATAACTCAGTTTACTGAAATATCTAACTACACTACTGGATAGGTATATATCAATAAATGGCATCGAGTCTCTCCCTGCTCTCACGCTACTACCATATATAACCTTCACGGCCACGCCCCACCTGTCACTTAGATAGTAACAGACCACCCACATTCCCTTCGTATTCCATCAGGGAGAAGTAAGTTCCACTCAAACAGCTTCTTCCTGCGAACCACTACCCAATGGAACAGACACCCAAGAATGTTTCCCCGAATACTACAATCTTAACCTGGTCAATTCTAGTGTCAACAGCTATCTTCCCCCTCCTATCTATATAAACTACACTTTATCGTAACCCTCTACCTCGAGTGGCCCCGGTGCCATGTGCGTACCTTACTGTAAAAATAAAATTAAAAAATAAAATGGGTTCACCACTGCGTTTACATAGCGCTTTTTTAATGTAGACATAACGTTCACATATCAACAACTTTTATATCGTCTATGCGTCTTGCGTAAAACCATGTTCAGTAAACCCGTCGTACGATCCAGTGCTTGTATATTCATTACTTGTTATAAGCTTCACACATATGGCCTCGTTCCAGGCTAGGAATAAGCTTACTAAAATATCGAGTAGGTTATAATGTCTTGTGATTTCCAAGGTCAGTTTGCGGCTCGACGAACAGAAATAACCTGGAACTAAACAAAAGAAAACAAAAACCGTGTTTTCTTTTCACTTTCGAGGGCGATTCGTGATGTCTGCTGGATCTGCGACATGTGCTACCTGGCACCTTGTGTCTGGCAGGAATTTCGTCTTCGTTACCTGCATATGTACGTGATTTATTTCCTTTCATAGGGATGTATCAAAAGTAGGTTCTTTTTTATCGTTTTTGTGTGACTTTTGTAATGTTTTATATCCTATATCTTCATAAAATACTCTTGTGTTGGTTGTCGGTTTTAACTCAAGGTTGCGGTTGATGCAACATAATCGACAAGTTACGGTTTTTCCTCTTCTGTTTTCATTCAAGGGACAAGCCACCACCCAAGCTGATTGGGGAAGTATGGTCACATATTTTTAATTTCTTCGACTTCTTTTATTTCAAGGGACAATAAACCCCCTTTAGAAGGATTAAACAAGTTTGGGGCTATATTTCTTACAATAATGTTCAACCTATACAAGACCCAAGAGCCACTTGAGGCAGAGGGTTACAGAGTAAGAGACACAGTTTATGGGGAATTGTGGGCAAGATAACAGTGTGTAGACAAATACTGTTTTATTTCCTTCCAGTCTAAATTCTGCAAGCAGCTTCGACGGCTCTAAATCTCACTTTAAAAATATTCCCCATAATTGGATTTGTTTTTATAACATTTGAAGCCAAGTGCGCAGTTGAATAGTGTTTAGTTAGAAAATGTAGATAATTATTTTTAGTTGGTACATGTGTTTCAGTTGATATTCCTGATTTTTATTATCTTAAACAGGGAAATTAATATCAACCGGCCTAGAACGAGAAATACTAGACAGGAACTTTTCAATGAGGCTGAACAGTACAATCTTCCTGGGCCTATAGCATGGTTAAACCCGGACTCGGGTCTAGCGGCCCGAAAACAAATGTTTTCACCATATGGAATGACTTCATAAATTTTTCTCCACGACGAGACACACAAGCTAATTTAATACTTATAGCAAAGCTATCTATTTCGTTTTAATACGAGAGAAGGTGATGTATTAACCACAAAAATGTGATTCACCTGATCGAATTTCTACGTCGTGCTAGTGGTGAAATTTTGAGTATGTAGAAAAGAGGACAGAACTGTTACGTAATTACTTCTCTCCTATATATCAATTAGTGTAGGACAATCTCCTCGCAGATAAAGGAGACACATGAAGTAACAGTAATTTGGTTCTACAGTACGAAGCTGACAATATTGCGGAACGTACATGTGAGCAACGTCGAATTTTAGAGAAAATGTAGACAAAAAGGACACTTATACTTAACATCAGAAAGAGACTGTTGAAATTTCTAGAGCATATAATGAGGAAAGAGTGCTTGGAAAATTTGACACTCACAGGACATATTGAAGGCAAGGGGCACAGAGGAATATAATGCGTAACCCACCTAGCCCTCTTGAATAAGAGGATGACAGAACAGGTTTTAGGAGAGATAGAAAAAAAAAAGACAAAATTTATTAAGAAATACAAAGGAAAGGAAATTATGGAGTGCCATGATCGCCAATGTCCTGAAAGGACATGGTACATAAAGATATTGAATATTTTTTGGCTACGGGATTTAATTGATCCGAACAAAGACTGGGGATCAGTGTCATTATTGATCGAAGTACCCTATCTACTCTTTTACTTTTGAAATAGTTAAATGTAACTGACACTTCTACTCCAACAGTTTCTTTTCTAGCACTTCCCACCTGTGGAACTCCCTTCCGCTTACTTGTTTCTATGATAACTAAAAAAAATTAAATGCAACGTCAGTCGCCATCTTTTGTTGTTCATCTTTTATCCTTCTTTCCTCAACACTGCATATATCTAGTCTTTTCTCTCAGTTTCACTGTCGGTAACCCCCTTGCGTACTCGTGAAACTCCCGACTTGCTTGGGGGTAAATGATTAATAAAATGACGTAAGTAGATCCTTTTAACTGAAGGGTTTTATAATTAATTTGACAATTTTTGATTATAATCAACAAGGCGTGTGGCCCATTGATTCAGTCAGAATCCAGTAGCTTAGGGGTCAGTCAACACTCGGAAAATTGAGACAGTTGAAATTTCTACAGTTAACGACGAAATTATTCGTATCGCCGTCAATTTTGAATATCTTTATCCATTTCTCAAAATCTATTGCTCATATGATGTCAGATATGTTAATAAGCACACAAAAAAAGGAATATAAAACTCAATTTTCAGAACAATAGGTTAATCACAACAAATTTAACAGTTGAATTATTCAATATAGGACAAGACAAAATTATTCGTTCAGTATAAAAAATAAAATAAAATGAACAATTTTCATAATATTAATAGTCAATAGCATGGCCTCTATTCTTTTTAATCATTTTCTAAAATTTTTGATGTAATTTGTGCAAGACTTTTCTGGGATTTTCTTCCATTCTTCAATGATTACACGTTCTAATTCCTGAAGGTTTTTTTTGCTGACTGACGATTTATTCGAACTTTCAATTCTTGCCATAGATTTTCAATAGGATTCAAGTCAGAACTCATTGAAGGCCATAACGAAACTGTAATCTTCTTTTTCTGAAGACAGACTGTCACTGGTTTAGACGTATGTTTGGGATCATTATCCTGCTGGAAAGTATATCGCAGACCAAGATGAAGACTTTGCATTGATAGTTGTAGATGTTCATCCAGAATTTTTAGATAGTCTATAGATTTTATTATGCCTCATATTGCAATTAATTTCCCAGCCTCCCTTGGGCTAAAAGAACCCCAAAACATCATCGAGAAGCCTCCATGTTGCAATGTTGCCATTGTGTTCTTTGGGAGGAAAGCCTCAACTTTCTTTCGCTAAATCTTCTGTGCACCATTATGTCCAAATAGCTCCATTTTTGTTTCATCACTCTATAGTACTTGTTCCCAAAAGAAATTTTCTTTTTCCAAGAACGTTTTGGCAAAATTCAACCGAGCAACAGTGTGAAATGTTTTATGAAGTGGCGTTTTTCGTGGTCGGTTTCAATGGAACCTGTTTCAATTTAAACAATGTTGTATTGTGCAAGTGCTTACGCTGATACCCATCGTATCCAAACATTTGACGATGTCTTTCAAAACAACTCTTGGGTTAGTATTAACCTCGCGACACAGTTTTCGTGAAGTTCTCGGTGACAATTTGGGTTTTCTTCCACGCCCAGGCAAATTCTTTGTCGTGCCAAACTGTTTAAACTTTTTATATATATAACGGATTGCACCGTAGATCTAGGAATAGCTAACAGGTTTGAAATAGTGCTGTAACTATTTCTCGACTTGTGTAAGTAAATAATTCTCAGTCTCAAGTGTCTTCCCCATCGTGTTGTCAATGTAAGAATAACAATGGTGACATTCTATGCGGCACGTGATGTTCTTTGCTGAAATTATTACAAATATTCTACTGAATAAATAGTCTAGAAGTCTAATTATGTAAGTTACTTATACTTACACGAATCAATCAATTTAAAATGATATTTTCTACTGTACGAATAATTTTGTATTTTCCTATTTTTCATAATTCGTATAAAAAATTTGTTATATTTAACCTATTGTTCTGAAAATTAATTTTTTTTTTGGGGGGGTGCTTATTAACATATAAAAAAACCTGGTATCATACGGACATTAGATTCTGAGAAATGGATAAAAATATTCAAAATTGATGGCTCTACGAATAATTTCGTCGTTGACTGAAGGACAAGTACAAATAAATGTGACAGGCATCGAACTTGATTCACATAATTCTATTGGGTAATCCAATCCTGTTGTCAAAGCTTGCTGTTACCAACGAACCCGCGCAAGACTGTCATGAAAAAGAAGACCCCAGTTACCCACTTAAGGGATACACGCCTCTCATTCATCCTTACCAAAACGTAAACACAGTAATTTGTTAAATAGAATTTTTTTATGCAACATTTTTTCGTATTGCTATAAACTAGGTATTTCCATAAAATCGCTGGAAAAAAGGGCATGGGTTATGGAAAATTCCCGAAACTTGATAAAATCTAGATTTTATCGTCAAAATCTTTGTTATTATTAAGAGGAAAGACCACAATATTTTTAATTATTTAATTATATTTTTTTAATTCCTTTTAGAACATTAGAAATTTTGTCTATATCTCGCAGATGAGGTATTATGATTATTTACATTATTACACTGGATAAAGACGTTGGTAAATCCAGTGACTAGACCCAAAGAGCTGTGAGTTCAATACCAGGCCACAGCAATGGTGAACCAAAACTTACAGAGTTGAATTAAATGGAAATATCAGAGACATCCAGAAGAGGTATGGCACGTGGAACTAAAACAATCTACCCCGGTGGACGAAATAAAAGGTTCATTCCAATCACCTGAAGAACGCATGAGCGTACAACGGCCGAGACGTTGTTAATATGGCAATGACGATGAGGATAGCGGTTCGAATAGTGGAAACAATGCAAGTATTTGAAATTTGGGTTTTTCTTGCGTCAGCGGATTGACTATAAATTAGCATTTTACCGTGAAAAATTGGTTTGGAAATACTGGCAAGAATCATAGAATTGTTAGATTTTAATGAAACTTTCAGGACTTATTCACGAATGAATTAAATTCTTTTAGAAATGGTTTCTTTTATAAAAGTGTTGCAAGAATACTAAGGTTGGTGCAGTAGATTTGAGGAGGGTTTTAACCTTCATCAAGAACGAACAGTCATCTGACTGATTGATTGATTAACACGTTTTCTACGGCTTATCAAACCTTTGCAGGCTATTTAAAGCCATAAAATATTTTTCGATTATAAGATCACCGAAGTTAAGCAACGTGGATCCTAGTCAGTAACTAGATGAGTGACCGCTTGGGAATAACAGGTGCTGTAGCTTTGGATATGCGGGTGGTGTAAAGGATAATGGCTAGGAATGAATTCTTTCCAGGTTATTTAAATGCAGAACTTTTTTTTTTTTACATTGTAAGAAGTTTTCGGGAGAAAATGGTTTAGTGATACAAGTCTTACTAATTAACCCGTAGGTGTGGGGGGAAGTTAGATTCTACCTTTCAAGGATATTTGCGAGTAGTTGTATATACCGAAAATAACAGAAATTGGAACTCGGCTCTTCGATTAACAATTCTGAACCATTATCCATTACACCACCCGCACATCCAAGCTTACAGCACCTGGTATACCCAGGCGGTCATCCATCTAGGTATTGGCAATGTTCGACGTTGCTTAACTTCAGTGATCGTAGATAAAAAAAAGTTCTGAAGAGACATGAACGCCCAAGTCATGAAAGAACTATATAAAAGAAGATTTATATTGTATCTAGTAATATTACTGGATGCATTGTAAAAATGCGATATTAACTGGACTCTGTATTCCAACAAAAGAGAGTAAATCTGAAACCGGGTTTTAGAACCAAATTGTACATTTCTATTCCATGGGATAAGCAGACGTACTAATCCGTTAATCAGAAAATGGACGACATAGGCAAAAAACACAAAAAAAAACAAAAAAAAAACAACAAAAAAAAACGAGAGTTGCTGATGTCATAAATTATTTTATCGCCAGAAAAATAAACAAATCCTTACTTTTTTCTTATCATCAAAAAGCTTATGTTATGTTGTCTCCTTTTATGCCGACAGCATGAACAGTGATTGTTGTGTTACTGGATACAATAGACCAGAGGAATTCTGAATGCGAACTACAACGGTACACGTCTGTCACTATATCTATTTCCCTTTCTCTTTCTCTCTCTCTCTCTCTCTCTCTCTCTCTCTCTCTCTCTCTCTATATATATATATATATATATATATATATATATATATATATATATATATAACAGGTGTAACAGCAAAATTGTCCAATGGCTTTACATTGTAAGATAACCGAAGTTAAGCAACGTGGATTCTGGTCAGTAACTAGATGGGCGATAGCTTAGGAATAGAAGGTGCTATAAGTTTGGATGTGCGGGTTTGTTTATGTCGACAGCATCATTGTGTTATTTATGACTATCTCTCTCTCTCTCTCTCTCTCTCTATATATATATATATATATATATATATATATATATATATATATATATATATATATATATGATTGATCTTTTTCCTCCACCATTTCTCAATTGGGAAGACATAATGGTGCTGACGCAAAACGATATTAACCTGTTCTCTTTCTAGCTGAATAACTCAATCTCATTCTGGATTGAAAAACATCCAGAAACTACATCTCAGATTCACTAAGGAATTCATTATCGATAGTATAGACCTGATTCTAAACAATAACAATCTTGAATTTGACAAGAAAAACTATATCCAAACCTTAAGTACCGCAATGGGAACCAAAATGGCACCAACATATGCCACCCTAACATTAGCTAGAGGAAAACCTCTATGAAAAGATATAAGAAATATATGGGGAAAATATAAAAACCAACTTCACTAAATCTTGGAAACGAAACTTAGATGATTGCTTCATTTTCTGGAAATCCTCATAGAGGGATATTAACCAATTCCACACTCTACTTCAGAACTTACTTTTTAGATATACTCATTAGAAATAGAAACAACCACATAATCCCAGATATTTACCACAAACCTACAAACAATATCTTCATTTCAAGAGTCACCACCCCAAAAAGCTGCCTAAAATTCATCCCCTATTCTTTAGCACGTAGAGTTTGTACTATAGTAGCTGACGAATACCTCCGAAAAACCCGCCTAGAAGAACTACATAGAAAAAAAAACGAAGCTACCCCACAACATTAATAGACAAAGGTTTTGAACTCGCCAAAACAATTTCTTTAGACCAACTACGAAATCCAAAGAAAGATAACGTCGAACAAACTCTAGTCTCAACATACAAGAAAAATCCAATAATCTAGACCTACTTGACACGAATAACAAACTCAAAAATATACGAAACACAACCAAATTAAAAGCAAACGCCAATCTAAAAACCTGAAACACATATTAACCTCATCCAAATTCACCCAACGCACAATACAGAGGGTCAAAAAATGCAACAAAAAAATGTGGGGGTTGTG